AATGTAAACTGGCCATGAAAATCATACAGTTCTGAATATGGTCAGTGGTATTTTGAAAGGTCAAACTCTTTTTTGTGATCCACATTAACGTTCCAATTAATAAACCAAAAATGTTATTTGCTTGAATCTTTAACAGGTTGAATGCTGTTCTGAAATGTTCCATCCTAATTTAACCTCTGAATATATAATGATATTAAATGAAATGTTTATCGATATGCTGACCACTGTCTTTGTTTTGGTTGTACATTGGGCTCTTCAAAAGGGTGTGTGTCAATCATTCACTTTTCCAAACTTTATCACTATTTGCGATATATTTTCTCTTTTCTTTTGTTTTTCTCTTCAATAAAATAATATTTGATTAAGTAATAAAGTAAACCAGACATTAAATATTTCTAACCTTGTGTATATTGTGAAAATTTACCAATAAGAAATATAATTGTAGATTGCTGAAAGTAAGAATTTTTCTTCCAAGCATTGCCATTTTTAAAGTTACCATATATCTATAGGAAAAGCAAATCTCTTTCTAGTTCAATTTTTTTCTTCTTCTTCCAAGAATTTAGATAGTGGGTAATGTTTTGTTAACGGTCTTTAGATAGTGGGTAATATTTTGTTAACGGTCTTTAGATAGTGGGTAATGTTTTGTTCACGGTCTTTAGATAGTGGGTAATGTTTTGTTCACGGTCTTTAGATAGTGGGTAATGTTTGTTCACGGTCTTTAGATAGTGGGTAATGTTTTGTTAACGGTCTTTAGATAGTGGGTAATGTTTGTTCTACGGTCTTTAGATAGTGGGTAATGTTTTGTTCACGGTCTTTAGATAGTGGGTAATGTTTTGTTCACAGTCTTTAGATAGTGAGTAATGTTTTGTTACTTGATTGTGGTTAATTATTTAGATGGTGAAATGAAAGAGAGAAATATTCTAAAAGTAAACTAATTTTCAGGTGGGATGAAACAAAGCAAGTTATCCTTCCTTCCAATGCAAAAAAAGCAGACAAAGAATAATTCATTGTCAGGTTCTGAACCTGAGTTAGAAATATCCAGTGGATCTGATTTTTCTGATTTTGTACCAGAGACGAAACAAGTAGCATCAAAAAGGATTGCAGGTACATGTTGATTTTATCTAACTGAAATTAGTTGTCTATAAAGTATTGTTCTGTGTATGCTTTTGGTCAACATATTATCATGTGCATAATATCTTACAGAAGAGGAAGTGATATTTATTTGTGTGAAATTGGCTTCATATTAGGAAGAAGAGAGTTAATATAAAGTATTGAGTATTTAGCCTTAAACTGATAATTTTATTTTGTAACGTTTACATTTCTGATCTAAGCTTGGGTTTTAAAATCGATTCTTGATTTTAGCGTCCAAAGTGAAATACAATTTTGACAGTGAAAATGAAATGGATGAACCTGAAAACTCTGGAGATGAAAGTTTTAACCTTAATGATGAACCTGTTGAGAGGGGTCATAAACCAATGAGGTTACTGCTAGAAGAAAGTGAAGAAGAAAATGCAGCTTCTACGAGTAATAATATTAATTCCAAGTGAGTTCATCTTGTTGTGAACCAACTTACACAGTGCATGTTTTGACAGTATTCAAACGTATTGAGATTCTGTATTCACAATAAAAAAAATTAAAAAGTTATGATTCTGGTTTAAATCAGGTTATATAGTACAGACTTTGATAGTACAAAATGTCCTATGACTTTGTAATGTACTAACAACAGCTTTTTCTCTATAGATTATTTTATCTGTTATATCACATATAATTGTAATGACTACCATTTTTACTTCTTTTTTCAATAGAAAAAGTAAGAAGGCTGTGAAAGGTCATCAAAAGAAAAATGACGGAAGTAAGTTCTTAATTCAAGAATTATGATAGTTAAGTTTAAATGACATAAACAGTAGTGTTATATATATCTGCTGGATCTTTATTCATAGTTGGATTAAGTATTTTGTGGCTTATGACTCTGAGACACAAGTAATTTACAAAGAAGGGTATGTGTTTGAAGGTGTGAGACTGTGTTATAAGGAAAATTGGCTTACAAATGTGATAAAGTATTTTACAACAATGACAGTTCAGTACAGGTGCCTTAACCCATTAACTGCGGATGATGGATATTTCCATCATTGAAGTTCTATGGCTCAGCTGCGAATGATGGAAATATCTGTCAGTCACACATATATAACTATAACTCGGAAAACGGCAACTGAGCTGCTCCTGCTGCAGTTAATGGGTTAACTTCTACATCATGCTTTACAGTTTCTATATGTATTTATCTGTATTGTTTTTATAATACTTTATGGATAAGTATACAACTGGTTGCATGAATAGTCTGTGTTAGTTGAGTATGAGGACTAGCATCTGAATTTGTTGATGTGTCATTTACTCTTGTTAAGTTTGTATAGTTAACTGAATGTAATGCTCATTTAAGATGTCATTGAATAGTAATCTTTTAGATGTTAATGATATTTAAGACAAAAATACCAACTAAATCAAGATGTATAAGTCACTTTTATATGAATAAATCAAACTTAAAATACTGAATTCTAAATATGATAAAAATATACATATTTGGGCAATATTTCCATTTTGGTGGGCTAGCATAGGTACAGGTGTTCATGTTTTTTTAACTTGTCACTGTTCTAGTAGTTCTATAAGCATCTCGTTGAATCTTTTGAAATATTAAACACTTGTAGATAATACTTGAAATACAACTTTAGTGGTGAGAATGTATGCCTGTGTGAAAAACAAAATCATTTAGACTGATAGTATAGTTAAGGTGGTCAGCTTGCAATCTATTGGTTGTGGGGTTGAAACCCATCACTGAACATGCTCGTCCTTTCTGTAGTGGGTAGTGTTGACTAGCTTCATTCACTCTAGTCTCTCAACTTTGTTAGTCAGAATTAAGTCAGTTATGGTTGTGGTTTTCCATCACAAATACTTGATTACAAATGATTTACATTTCCCTACTAAGGAGGATGTAATTTCCCACACTTTGAAGTTACATTTTCACTGTTTCTGGTTAATGTCTTTTATTATTCTTGATAATTGAGCACATTTGGATCCAGCTCTATCATTAAGAGCCTTTGAGAAATGTCTTCTCTGGTTGATTAAGATAAATTTATGCCCAACAAGTGTATACCAGTTCGTGTGCTATTTCTTTCTGAACTAGTGTTTATATTATGTCACACTATTTAAGTATATTTGAAGATTATTGTTGGAGAAAACATGTTGACTTCACTGGTGATGCACAGTGTTATTGAGAACAAAACGATGCAAAAAACTAAATGATAAATATAAGTTGCCCTAGTCATTTCAGCTTAAAGTTAGAACTTTTTTTTTTATTACCAGAAACTTCACCTGTGATGCAGATTTCAGACAGTGAGGATGAGGTGAAGGATGCCATTCCAACCATACAGATACATCCAGCTGAATCAGAAGGTAAAGATACCTGATGTTTGTCTTTCTAAAAACTGTCATTTGTTTCCAAGTTTTTTTCCATTCATCAATTGGATTGTTTTTTAAAAAATGCCCATTATAATAAAATATACTTTTTTCTGACTGACTCAACTAAAATAGTGTGAGTTCATACTGGCAGTGAAGTGAGTGTGATAAAGCTACTAAGCAACGGTTTAGTAAAATTAATGCTACAGAAATTGGTATTAAGTTTCATAATTTTCTCATCCTTATTGTGATTAAAGAGAAGGAAGACTGGTTTGTACATGTGTGCATCTCTTGGATCTCCTTAATGTTTATATGTTGCTCTGTTATACAATATCTTACTAATTTCATTCTGTGTCTTGGAAATTATTTTATGAACAAAAATTGTATTTCATAGAATTTATTCATCCATATTATTATCCTTGCTATTATTTTGAGTCTAGACCATAAACTTTGGCTAACAGTATGAAAAAGTTTGAAGTTAATAAGAATATAAATTTTTTCTCTGTACATTTAATTGTTGAACTTGTGTTGGATTCCAGGTTCTTCAGAAAAAGAAGTACCAAACATTGATAATACAGGTTCTTCATTACAAGTAAAACCAGCTGTTACTAAAGCTAAAAAGAACATCAACAAAAAAGGTAACTTCAGTATTTTGATGTGTGCTGAGGCAAACACTTGCCCTCCTGTTTCAATATTTCTTCATACTTTCATAAAATTCACATATATATATGAAGATGTACACTTTAAAACTTGTGGCATTGTTATAAGAATGCTGGTTTTAATATGGGGTTGAAGCAATAAATTTGATAAAATGTGTACTTAATCGATACTTCAGGCTAGTAACACAAAGAACCTAAATTTGATAAAATATGTTACTGATCATTTGAGAGCTATTAATATTAACTATTATCTTTGGCGAGTTTGTCATTTAGCTTATAAGCTATTGTATTTATATTTGTATTATGTTACAGGTTGATATTAACTGATAGCATATTAAAAATCTCAATGTTGCTAATGTATTGGTTTTATATCATAAATTCCACATGACAGCCACTACCCAGAAAAGGCCACACAAAAAGGCAGAATCTGATGATTCCGATGACGAGTTTAACCCAAAACACGTCAAGTCAGTTTCAGCAGGGCCTTCTAAAAACAAAAAGGCCAGAACTGAAGATTTTGAGCCAGTTAAAAGGGTATGTATTATTTAAAGTTAGTTGTAAACTTATCTTGGTTCCTGTTATAGAAAAGTACTTTATGAGCTAATATTATACAGGTCCTTATTTTAGTGAACATGTGCACAGGGAGTTTTTTTTTTTAATGAACAGTGTTAACTATATCAGCTTCAAAACTTGAGTTTACATAAAAGGTTCTTTTAGAATGTTGGGAAGAATATTTTCTATCAACTGTACCAATACATATCCTGCTGAAAAATTCAGCTACAGTTAAATATATGTCTTGTTTACATTCTTCAGTAGCTCAGAGGCGAATCTGAGGGCATAAAACCCTAAAAACTTGGTTTTGATAACTATGGTGGGCACAGCACACACAGCCTGTTGTGTGTAGCTTTGACTTTAAACAACACACAAAAATAGTCTTCTTTTCTCATATAACTTAAATATTTCATACATGATTAAAATTTATAACTGCAGCAATTCAACTCTGTCAGTGTCCTTTGTGAAGCACAAAATACACTGCTGTTCGCCTTTTGAAAGGTATATTTTTATGCTGTCATGTCATACCAATACTTAATTTTATTTATATATATATATAGTTACTTAGAGAAATTTGAAGCAGACTAGTCAAGTATTTGATATAGAAATCATGAAGAATGGATTCATCTGAGAACATATTTATCTGTTAGAAATACCACACAAATATTTGTCCAGTAAAACAAAAAACATTTTTTTCCATTTATGTAATTGCTAGATATTTCTATAGTAATTCTCATTAATATGTATCTTTTTATTGGCTTTTGAACTGTTCCTACAAAATTTGACAAAATTATTTGAAATTTTGTATGTAAGTTCTAGACCTGCACAAAATATATAGAACATTTTTTTGTTTTTTTATTTATTTAAAATTAAGTTGTGAAGTGTGTCAGGTTTGGCTGAACAGGCTTACTTTTAAGTTGTATTAACATCTAAGGAGTCGCTCAAAACAACATGCACAAATTTTTTATGGGATTGTTTTTTTGACAATTTAATAGTCTGCTGTAGTTGAATTAAAAAGAATGGCAAATTATCCTGGAATCTGCTAGACAAAATTAATTTTTACGTGAGAAAAGACTGAAGACTATTGTCAATATATTTGTAATTTTGTAAATAAACTTGAAAATTGGGTGAACTATATTAATGGAGAAATATGGAAGAAGGATATTGCTGAAATGGCATACCCTGAAATATGTACACACGTCACTGCATCCATAAAATTAGACCCTTCACAAAACATCTTGCAGACGTGATAAATCATTTTTGTTGTATCAAATGTTTAAAACCAGGCCTTTTTTGTTGTGTTGTGTAGTATTTAAACCAACACCATTGATAATTATATCCTCTCACATTCCACCAAAAACATGACATAATTAATAAAAACATTCCACCAAATTCTAAACATTCACTGGAATGTATTTTTTATTTGTTTTCAATACTGGGTGATGGTCTTTAACTATTCGTATAATAACTTCACCCCGATAGTTAATAATATCTGGAGTTTGACATCAATGTCTTGGTTTTTATAATGTTATATTTGCTTTTTTTTCAGAAACGTGTAACATTACTATTTTATATCTGATTGGATACTTTTTCTCAAATCATGTACTAAATCTTAATTCGTAGTTAATTAAAGTATGAAAAATTAGACAAAGACTGCTGTGGTACAATTAAATCAAGAATGTAAAAAAGGGGGTAAAAATGGTAAATGATATAGATGTTTCAGATTGGAACATTCTTGATCTGGTGATTTTAAACTTTTAAAGTTTATAATCACCAGAGGAAGGGTGTCCCAGCCCTTAACGTTGAACATCTAAACCTTTTTTTTTTCGCACCTTTTTATCTTCAACATAAATACAGTAGTTAGACTTTGTCCAGCTTTTAATATTGAACTACAGGCTAATGTGATATAAAGCTTAAAAACTATTTCCCAAAGGTAGTCACATATCTTGGGTTGGGAGAAGACCTGTTTTAAGAGCAGGAAGTTACGGGGAATGCAGCACATTCTTTAAAAGTTTTCAAACACACTGGCATTTAACAACTATTGAGTTATTCCAAGCATTGTACCTGCTTGTTCATTTAAGGTAACAAAAAAGAAGACTGCTACCAAGAGAGTTGACAGTGATGAAGAAGTTGTTATACCAGATTCGGACAGTCCACTACCACCACCGAGATCTCATGCTGCTCGTTCACGTGCAAGAATAGTATATAACTTTGATGACTCAAGTGACGGAGAGATGTAAAAGTGATAGCTTTGAATTTAGCTGGTCAAGTTACAAGAAAGAAACTTTGACTTTGCCATGTGGTAAACTGCTGGGGTGTATTTAATTTTTTTGCAAACACCTTTTTCATTTTTAAATAATTGTAAATTTAATTCATATCAGTTTAGAAAGGAAAAGTAATATTTTCGCTGTAGCTTTAAAAGTAAATCTAATGGAAATGTGTCTTTTTATTTTATTATTATAGTTTCTGGTTTTAGAGTATAGGAAGAATGTTTGAACTTGACTTGCACAGTTAAAAATACTGCTAATGTTACTGTGCCTTGTTAGATGTATATTCTGTGATTGTGCATTTGATACTTTGAATCTTGAAGCAATTTTTAGTATTTTATAAACTTTGGTTTTTTACTAGTAATTGTATGTTATTGTCCTTGGTCAGACTTTTTGTTTCATGATTTGTTATTTTATTGTCTATAGGTGATTGTGTTTTTGGATTTTATAAACTGTTAATTTTTGTATCTTCTTGTCCTTGGTCAGATTTTTTGTTTTTGTAACTTATCATCACTGTATTCAAGAATCACTTTTGTAACATTCTGAAATGTACTCCATTGTGTATAGACATCAAATTGTAGTGTTCTACCCCTGTTTTAGGCTTGATTATCGATGCATATATATTAAAAAACTATAACATTTATTTGTTTGGTCTTCATTTTTGTCTTGGAATGTTTTTGTTTGTTTTTTTAAGGTAGAAAAAAATGAGGAATAAGAATTTATTCTGTTCCAAAATTTGTGTTAATCTGATCTATCTCTATACCTAATTGGCTTTTATTTCATTCTTTCGCACTAAGATATCTTTAAAATTCTGTTTGTAAATACAAGACTGAAAATGGCTTATCAACTAAAAGTGAACATAACAAGAAAAAATGTATTACCTCATAGAAAAGAAGTTAAAAATTAAATACATCAGTTGATTGTAGAGTAGTTAAATAACAGCTGAGGTTGATTTGATATATAAATGCATGTTGTATTCTCAATGTTACATTGATTATCTATTCAGACAATGGTAGTAACTTTAAATAACAGGACCAACAGAAAAATTGTTATGAAGTAACTCAGAGTTTCTGACAGATTTAGTTGAAAGGAGTGACTGGACACAATTTAAACAAAGAGCTAATTAATCTTCATTCACAACAAAGTGAACACATCCACTTTACAATTTTTTTGTTAACACAACGAGAGTACAAAATTCACTATCTTGTTTTTAAGGTTTGTTTTGCTTGGAGTTTAATAGAGTAGCATCATCTCTCTCGGCATCCACGTTATTCTCATTCATTCCAACAATTAAAGTGAGAAGAAAAATTCCATGAGGTATCGGGAGATTTGTAGTTATTAAGATCAGTGTCAACATGTACACACTGTATTCTGTCTATACTATTATAATCTTTCCCATGTACCAAAAGGACAATGTGTAACTGTTTGCAGCAAATTAGCCAAGTTTTACAGCCAACTCTAGTGTTAAACCAAAATACATCCCTACATGTATGTGAGTGCGTGAAAAAGGTAATTCATACTCTCAAGCCCAGTTAGTTCACTGAAGGCTTACTCTTGGAAATAGATATGTTTGAATATACTTATTTGACAAAAATAAATTATTATTAAACAGATTCATGTGTTTGAGGTTTTATATCTTTGTTTAAATAGTTGATCTTTGTATCAACACTTAAGATTGCACTAAGGAACAGTTTTTATTATAAGAAAACCTTTATTATAATGACAATAAATTCACATATATATTTATATATATACATAAAATGCAAAGAACCCAGACAGGATTTATATACAATCACACCTACAATTCTAGCTTTACTGCTATTCTTTTTTTGGAGGATATAAGAAACAAATAATTTTATAGTAATGTTAACAACAACAACAAAAAAAGTCCTAAATTCTCAGAACATAAACATGCTATGCTAGGCTTATAGCTTTACTTAAATCTTGTTTTTTAGAAGATAGAGTATGCTTATTTTGGGATCATTTTAAAGTTTGAAGTAGTTTTCAGAAAAAACACTTACACTATGTTGTGCAAGCTACACAGAAATATTCTATTGACAATTGAGTCTACAAGGTCACCATCTAAGTAGTAAATAAATTTATAACATTCTACGTGTTAAGATGATTGGCTGAATGGTAGTGCAAGTACTGTCCACTTAGCAAGACTGACATAGATGATTGTCTCCTTAAGCTATTCATCATCAATTATTTGAAGAGAAAACAAATTCCATTCTTAAGTATGGCTATCTTTGTGATCATAATAACTTTACCAAAACTCGGTGAATATAGAATGTGTTGTGGAAAATTACATGAGAGTTATGACTTAACAAGGTGCATGTATAAATAAAATATATTATTTGTTTCTATTGTATGCAACGTATAAAGAAAGTTAAGGAGTCAGAAACAAAGTATGTTGAGAATATAGAAATTGGAAGTATATGAAGCATTCCTTGTGAAATATTAGTGGAAGCTACATTCTTTAAAAATATTCTTGCACTTATCACATGATGCACTTTCCAATTTTTCAAAACTACTGCTCAGCTTTAGTGAATGGCAGATTGAATCTTTATCTAAAGGGTTTGACATTTTATATATATAAATGGATAAAACTAACTGAACATTTCTATTAAGGGTTAAACAGTGATTTGATATGTGAAGGTAAGAATGTAGTGGAGGGTTGGATGCATTAATAAATACATTGGGAAAACGTTTTTGTACACAAAAACGAGCAATTTTGGATAAAATGTAAAACTCATTTCAAACACTGGAAAATTAGTTTAAGAAAATAGAGACTTGCAGGTGTAGGTTTAACGTTTGTATTTTATTCTAAGCTCTGCACATGAATTACCTAAAATACTGTCTTAAGCAGAAAAATAATTTCTTGTATGAAGATCTTTATTTGATATGCTAAAATTTCAGATAAGGTAATCTATACAAAGTCCATTTATTGCCTGTTTCTGACTCATATACACATAACTTCACATCCTTCAAAGAGCAAACTAGCCTAAACTTCAATATCAAAATTCATACAGAAAATAACTGGAATTTTCACATATGTTTAGTCTGAAATTGTCTTAGGATATTTAACTTCTAACCAATAAAAAAAAAGTTAGTTTTTATGCTTTAACAGTACTCAGACCAACTACTATAAAACAATCATCACAGAAGAACAAACATTAACATGTACATCTAGTGGTTTAATACTTAGTAACATGTTTTATTTAGTTATGAATGCTCTCTTACAGATACATTTCAATATAAATAATCAGACTGTGTATGCCCAAATACTTAAACAAGTAAATTAAATACCCATAAATAATTTCCAAACAATACCAAAAAGCAATGCTCTTATAAAAATTCATTACTCATTGAAAGAATAACAGAGCACTTGAATATTTGGTCTATTTTGTACTTGATACAATTAACTCTTTTGAATGATGTGTTCTCCAAAAAAGCCATGAATATATTAACACATGTTTTTCACAACACCTAATTTAATCTGCACATCAAAATAAAAGTGAGAAGCATCTTCATGCTGAAGGAAGATGTGGAGCCAGTTCATGACATGCGATTCAGACTGTGAGTTGATGAGGAATAACTTTCTGCACAAGAGTCACTGAAAGAAATGTGGTCTACTGATTCTCCATCTTGGGAGAGCAGAGTCATGGATGACAGACAACTCTCAGTCAGTCTCCTGTTAGCACATGTCAAAGCACTTTCTAGATTCAAATGGTCAAGAGGAGCAAAACTGGACACAGATACATCAAAAGGATGTAGAATATTGGACGTTTCTATGGACTCCTGTGGCAAAATGACGTTATTGTTTTCAATAACAGGAGTTATTGATCGTTTTTCTTCATTTAAAACTTCAGAAGATCCTACTTCACTAGGAGAGGTGGAAAACTCATCCAAAAAGTCAAAACAAGCAACAGCTTCTCTCTCCTTCTCTCCAAACCGGTAGAAAAAATTGTGAGAGTTAATGATAGATGTCCGTATTTTGGGCATAAAACCAATTACTCCATCTCGGTTGGAGGCTGTAAAAATTAAATAGGATTTTGAGTAACACATTATTATTATAATTCCTTTACCAAGACATATCTAAATATGACCTATTCTAGCAAGTTTCATTTAATAAAAAATCGAAAATTTATACACTAAATTAATTTAGTTTAGGGCAAAAATATTATTTAAAATGTTTCTTGACTTTAGAAATAATAGAATACAATAGTAATGGATAAACTAGACTCATATTTGTTAAACAAATTAAACTTATACTATTAAAACCAGACCTAAAATCTCTTACAACACTATAAAACTTGAGCTTTTAATTTGTTGTACTAATTCATACTCTAACCTGTTACAAGCAGTTTGATAATCATACATCTTAATTCTATAATTAATCATTACAGTAAAAAAGAAACATCTAAGTACAAACAGATTTTTTTAATTGAAAATGTACACTACAGAACTTATATTAATGAAAATTGCACTAATTTTGAATGACAGTTTTTGTCTTGCCTTACCATACCTGACATAATTTGCAAGAAAACATTTAACACTGTGAATACTATATCATTTCAGGAAAATGAATTCAAATATGAGATCTGTTGATTATATCAATGAACTTTAATATTGAAACAGTTCAAATAATTCTTACTTAGTGATATCTTTTGTTTAATAAATCAATTTTTTAAAATAATTCCTATGGATAGCATGGAATAATTTTATCATATCTATTATTTGAAATTATGTAAATATTATTTGTATATTCTCATAAAACCCTCGTGTTTATAACACAAAAGAAAAAAAAACTTAACACTATCACCCTGAATTCAATTTTCTGATTTCAGCAGTACACGACATTTGTGACCAATGCTTTCTGTAATCTGAAAATGAGGCATATACAAGACATAATCAAACAAGAAGACAGTTAATGTGAAAGTACATGCAATAAGTCAAACAGACCTCGCTTCTTCTGCCTACGGAATCTGTGTAGAGCATGAAGCCGTTGATTGTGTTGATGTTCCTGTACTTCATCACCATCATCATCTTCCTCACTGTTGCTGCTGCTGCTGCTGCTAGCCATCATTGAATCTAACAGCTTGGCTCTTGCCTGTATTCATGTTAACAACTTAGAAGTTAAATATTATCACTGACTTTGGTGTCTCTCTCTACAGATACATGTATGAGACAACATAAGATTCCGTTATAACCTGGAAAAAAGTTTTCACTGACACATTTCAGATTTTAATATCAGATCATTCTTCATAAACACATGCAAATGTAAAACATATTTTGCATTATATAATAATGAAAATCTTCCGGAAATCCGGATATTTCTAAAAAATCCTGAAAACCTCTGGTTT